CCCCCCCCCATCAGATTGAAATCGTTCAGTATCCTGCTACTGTAACTCTTTTTCGTGATATTTTGAAGGCCGAGAGAAGATTCAACTCCAAACTACACGACATGAAGGACAGACTTGAACAAGCTAACAGTACAACAAGAAGCATGCAGAATTACGTATCCTTTCTCAAGTCTTCGTACGCAGACGTCTTCGATGAACTCGAGTCGCCACGGTGACCGAAACACTAGTGACAGAACGATAATTTATTTTTAAAGCATTTTATTTTTAAACTTTTTTAATTTTTATTATTACCTAGGTTTTTAGTTTTTAACTTCATACTTCTGATCTTAAAATGTTACTGTAAGGCGGTTTTCGTATGAGTGGAAAAGTTACGCCAAATTCGTAGCTGTACTGTATCTTACTGTTCCCTAATTACGCGTTGTGATTGGATGATTTACTGGAAGGAAGCCATTTCAGCATGTACCGTGTACGTGCTGTAAGTCAGTACCATATATTACCCACTCATACGATAACCATTCCTATGGGAAGCCATTTCAATGTTACGGCATGTCGTACCGTGTACGTGCTGTAAGTCTGTACCGTATGTTTCCCACTTCAATTCTATTGTCATGTCGTACCGTTTACGTACTTAAGGCAGTACCATGTGTTTTCCACTCATACGATAACCATTCTTATGGCAAGCCATTTCAATGTCATGGCATGTCGTACCGTTTACGTACTTAAGTCAGTATCGTATGTTTCCCACTTATACGATAACAATTCTTATGGCAAGCCATTTCAATGTCATGGCATGTAGTACCGTTTACGTACTTAACTCAGTACCATGTGTTTTCCACTCATACGATAACCATTCTTATGGGAAGCCATTTCAATGTTACGGCATGTCGTACCGTGTACGTGTTGTAAGTCAGTACCATATGTCACCCACTCATACGATAACCATTCTTATGGGAAGCTATTTCAATGTTACGGCATGTCGTACCATTTGTTTTCCACTCGTGGGAACCGCTCAAACATTTCGTCCTTGATTTCCCCATTTTTGTAGTTGTAAAATATTTTATTTGTCGATTAAAAAAGCATGTCTCTTTTCTTACATTCTATCAATTTGTGTCTTATCGTATTCTTGTTAAATATTAGCGTAATAGTACTACGGTATTCAGTTTCCAAATGTTGACAAATTTCAGACCACGCGCGTCACTTCCCTTGAGTTTTATATCTTATACTCTTTAATTATTCATGAGCTCATCGACCAACCAGGGTTTCTTATTTGTACCACGTGCAATAGTTTGAAACCCCCATCAAACCCCTCATCACCCCCTCGGGTACGCCTCGGCATTTGAAATTCCACTCGGATTTTGAATCCCCAATAGAATACAGCAACTCGTATTTGAAACATTACATCGTATGGAAAAATGACTTCCGAGTAGCAGCACCACAATGGCCGCAATTTTTTTGTCTTTTGACTCGCTTGGGAATGATTGCAAACCATCAATTTAACATTTAGAGTCAGAGTCTTCCAGCTTTTTGGTTCTGCGACATGGCGAGGCAAATATTGAGAAACCAAGTTTTCAACTTCAAATTTTCACTGAATTTCTAGCTATTAAAAACCTTGGTAACCTATGGATGGGAGTGAACTCCTATGGACACCTCCAAAGTGAACTTTTTTCCCCAATGATTCTGATCTTAAAGTGTTTTAAAATCTTTTACGCTACTGTTACTTGAAAACTATTTATATATTTATATTTTTTACATTTATTGGATTTGAAAATGAAGTTAAGCTTCAAAAGTTCTGTCGATGAACTTCATATTTGAAACTCTTACTAAATAAGTCATTTCTTATAGAGCGCAGTCGAACAACAAATTCAAAAAAGTATATTGTTTTTATATATCGACAAATATTAAAATAACTCAACCAGAACATTATCAATTTTATTGCATGCATGTAGGTATTGAACCAGCATCTTATACTTTCATCACTTAATTTTTTTTCACGGGGAACTAATCAAGGCTTATATTCAGGTGTGATCGTATCAAAGCATGTGTGAATTTTTTTTGTTGTTTATTTTATTTTATTTATTTTTTGTTTATTTTTTGTTTTTTTGTTTTGTTTTGTTGTTTTGTTGTTTTGTTTTTGATTTTTGATTTTTTTGATTTATTTACTAAGTTTGCATTTAGCCGATATTTCCGGGTGGTATTAAGTTCTAACTAATTTGATTTTGTTTCACTGGTATTAACAACTGCGCTCTATGTCTCTTGATTCTAATAAGTTTTTCGAGTCAAAAACTTGGATTGACATCTTCTTTTCTTCATGATTCACGATGAAACATACCGTCATTTCTACGACGACTAACACGGTTAGAGTTCATTAACAGCTATTGTCAACCTATTAATTCTTAGGAGAAAATACATATTCAAATAAGACTCCTTCATTAAAATAGCAGTTGAACAGAGGAAACAAACAAGGACACGGGTAATTACGTCAAATGCCAGCCCCCACTTTTCAATATGCTCCGCGGTCCCTGTAACAATAGACCGTTTTCTCAAGGTTGCTTGCGCATCCAGCTTGACGGGACACAAAACAGCGCGCTCAAGAACCGCTGAATAACAGCGGCAAACTTCAGAATTTTATTCTGTAACCACACGCATTACAAATTTCAACAGGGCAAAACTTAAATCTTGCAGGGGACTATACTTTAAACGTAATTCCTTTAAGGAGGATCGACTTCAAATTAACAGATTTCCTTGAACTCGCGATTTTAAAGCTTTCCTTATTTCAATTTTAAACAACACAACACTTTTTTTCCTTATTTCATTTTACCGGTGGTCAGCGCCACCTTAAGATATTGCTAATCTAACAAAATTATAAATTCATTTACGTGCTCTTTCGCATCTTGGTTCGAAATCGCGTTAAGTGTTGCCCTAATTTCCTACTTGGAAGTTTGCTGCTAGCGGTCATCTTTTTAACGGACAAGAACTTCTTAAACGGTTTGCTTGCAGCTTAACCTAGCTCATGTTTTAGTTGATGAAGTGCTTGCTTGATATTTTTGGAGGGATATACGTAACCCCCTCCTCAATTATCTGATGGTACATCCCTAAAACTTCACAGGCTGCTTCATTGCCGTAAAAAAATTTTAATTTAAAATGAAAATGTTTTATTAAGTCGCAGAGTCGAACAATGAGCGAAAGGAAGTGACTCAACTTGAAGTGTGTTTGTCCTAAAAGCTGTTTAATAAATGTCTCAGTCAATTCAACGACACACATTCTGCATGGTTTATTAGTCATGGCATCAACATCAAACCTAATGTGGAATTCCAGTTTTCAGTGTGCAATAACTTTTGATTTTGATCCAACAAACGTAACCCATTTTCCAGCATCAGTCGTCCCAACGCTGATATCTCTTGTAGCCATAAACATCGTCACCTCTCCACCAACCGTCCTCATCAACCTGCTGGTTATCTGGACCGTGCTGGAAAATAAACAGCTCAGATCTAACAGCTACAACCTCATCTTCGCCATTCTGTCTCTCAGCGATCTTCTGATAGGACTCATTGTACAACCACTGTTTGTTGCTTTGGGAGTCTGTATTACAGTCCAGTGTTCGTACATCTGTGAACTAACCATGGCCTATGCGGTATCAGCGCTACTTTGCTATGGATGGACAGCTGTTACATTGGCGATTGTCAGCCTGGAAAGATACCTTTACATAGAGCGTCCCCTCTTCTATCATGCTTCAGTCACCTCCAAGAAACTGATGATAGCAACGGCAGTTACTTGGTCCTGCGTAGGGTTTTCAAAAGTGTTCTCAAGAATCCTTGCAAACAGCTCCTTCTGGACCAGGCAGCTTCCTATGATCCTAACTATGGGGCCCAGCTTCGTAATCATCTTTTTTTGCGTTACCAAAATACACCTGACGGCCCGTCGACAGATGAGAACCATCGTCGCCCAACAACAATCTGTAGCCCAGCAAGGTAAGATCAAGGAATACAAGCGCACTCTCACTCTAGGCTTGGTAGTGCTAGCATCCGTCGTGTGTTTGTGTCCAATATTGATTTTGAAGATCGTAGGAGCTGTGAAGAGCAACTGGGGTGATGATGACTTCAGATATCTATCACAAGGAATCTATTTCACCGTTATGCACATGCAGTCGATTATCAACCCCATCATCTATTCCTTTCGTCTATCGGACATTCGCTCTGGGGTGAAAAATAAAATATGCCGGCACTTTCGAGCATAGTTAATTAACTATGTTTCGAGTGACAAGCGAAAGATAACCCAGTAGAGAGTTTTAGATTTATGTTCACGGCAAATGAAACGTGAAATGTCAGTTGACCAGTAAAAAATTCTTTTAAATTACTGAAAAAGAATCGCAAAAAGTCCAAGTAGTAGAAAAACAAAAGAGTATTTGCACTTGGTGAGAAGGTTTGTAAAAGGTAAAGTAAAATACAGGAAAACTATGAAAACGTGGTCACGTTTGCCGTTTGCGGGGAGAAAAAAAGTCAATCTATATAAAACTCTTTAGTATGTATGTTAAGACCTGGGTTTTCCTTGTGAAAAAACCCTCCGCAAAGAATTAACATTTTAAAAATAAAAAGGGCTTCGTACTTTGAATATATTCACTAGTTTTCAATGAAAATAATCGTGAATGTTGATATCAATTCCGTAGTACTAATTTTTATGAGGTCACGTGATATGTAAATTTATGCGGTCGCGATTTCAAGCTACAAGGAAAAGTTAAATACGGAAAGTTGATAAGAGTGGATGACAAACAACTTCACGTTTGGAGAACTTGAACTCGATTGCTAGAGTGCTAGAGCGCATTGATAATAAGTATTTAGTGTAAAAACTACCCATTTAATTAAATCCTCCAATTAACCCTCCCCAAGACGATAAATATATCGACTAGAATGATAATGCATGTCTGATAATGATGATGAAGTTGAGTCGAGGGGGCCGTAGTGGCGAGCGCACTTGAGTGCACCTATCTGCTGCATTTGACACAGTTGATCATCAAATTCTTCTAGATCGTCTCCATACAAAATTTGGCATTTCTGGCATAGCTCTTCAATGGTTTAAGTCCTACCTCACTGATCGCTTTCAATTTGTTTCCATTGATGATTTTTCTTCTGAAGCCCTTCAACTTGATTGTGG